TAACAAACAGTCAATTATTTAAACCTCATTTATTTAAACAACATCAAAATCGATCGATGAATACCCTTGTTGGATAACAAAAACAATGAGGTTTGGAGTATTACAAAAAAGTCGATTAAAAAAAACAGTCGACTACTTACTCTTGAAGGAGGAACGTCGAAATTTGGAAGATTTTAGAAGGAGGATTTGAGAAGTAACGCCAATGGATGATTTCAATTTTTGATCTCAAGGTATTTTGTACCCAAAAGCTTAAAGGGATTTTGCCGAAGGAATGCCAGAATCTAAAATTGGGATTTTGTACCCAATTTCAATTTGAAATCACACAGGATTTCAATTCAAGCTTCAAAATTGAAATCACACCATCACCTAGAATTTCAATTTTTGATTTCAAGGGATTTTGCCTAAAGCTATCCACCCATTGAAATCAAGGGATTTTGATTTCAACTAAAGGAATCAAAGATCACTAAGTTAGGAGATTGTGTACCCCAAGAGGGACACCGAAAGCTTACCCGAAGGAGGTTATTTAGGTTCTGGCAAGAGTGGGAAGAGGGATGCCGAAGATTATGTACGCCGAAGAGGGACGTCGAAAGCTTGAGGCACACGAGGCTTGAGGGGCTTAAGACTTGATTGGATCAAATTTTATTTGATTTTAGGAAGGAAGAGTTAGAGCAAGTGTGGGAAGAAGGAGTTAAGGGCAAAAGTGGGAATGAGTCATTTGAGTTGTCTTCCCTTCCATAATGGATCATAATATGGTATTAATCTTCAACTACTCCATCTATAATTTTAAAGACAGTACTTTACAGCTTCAATCTTTATTTTTCCACTTTTCTAATTTGATTTTATGTTTTTTTAGTCTATTTTACACTAGTGGTTCGACCAAAACAGGATTTTCAAAGCCATGGTGGGAAGAACATCGGGCCAAGAATCTTGGATCTAAAAAATCGAGCTGAAAGAGTTTACTATGAATATTTTGGATGTTTTGGGCATGAATTTGAAACGACGACGGAGAAAAGTATTAGGGAAGAAGGGAGAGGGTAGAGAGAGAGAGAAAGAAAAGAGGAAATTAGAAATGAAAAAATGCCACATAGATTATAAACAATATATAATTAATAAATATTCTTATGTCATCTAAAACTTTATCTCATCCATGTTGGTTGCTACCAACAGAAGCTTGACTTTAGGAATTTTTAGAAAAAACTTAAAAAGACTACTTTACCCAAAAATAAATGTCATAATTAATATTTTATAAAATAAAACACTGTTATAAGAAGAAATAATAGTAAATTGCATTCTTATGTTGTAAATTTAAATGTCATAATTAATATTTTATAAAATAAAATTCTATTATAAGAAGAAATAATAAATTAATTGATATTTACGATTCATTTATAACAAGTCCAATAAGGGAAATTATTAGGACAACTGTTATTTATTTTTTTGCATAGAAAATATCATAAATTAAATTGAAGATGTCACTTTCCATTGGAATATGGCCAAAGGTAGATGAGAGCACTACATGGACTGAGCAAATATCAAGCTCTCAATATTGATAGTCCAAACTTTCAGAGGAGGGAGCGAAATTGGTTGAAATAAAGTGGATGCCGCCACTATGAGTTCTTATGGATCGCGAAGAAGAAGCACAAAAGTGGTGGAATGAGGCCAACCATTGCAAGCTGTGTACATAGTTAGGGTGTGTTTGAGAGTGATGATGAGATGTGTGATTTTGAAAAAAGAGGAGTGTAATTGATTTTCCAAAA